TGGGTATCCACTACCCCACGTGCTGAGATGGACCTTCCCATCTCTCTCGACCCGAAGGGAGAGAGAACATAGTACCCCAGGACCGTCAAACGGGCGCCCACAGTACGCACAGCGCGAATGACTGGACAGGCGTCGAGTCAACCTGAGCATTCATAAATGCGACTCACCTCGGTTGTCTGAGCCAAGAGCTGGATCCGCCGGCACTCGGCAAGCTGGCTAGACCCACTCGAGTACTGTACACCTACTTCACCGCCTCTCCTGACCGGAAAGGAGAAAGCATCGTGCTCAAAGCACGCCGGGCGGTCACGCACAGTACAAGTGATCGGACAGACACTTCATCGATCTGCGAACTCATAAATGCGGTTCATTAATGCTGGTCAAATCCACTCGGATAGCAGTCGTTTGTTGCCTCACATACAAGAATGGGCCTTCCCATCGTAGGTGACAGGACATAGAACACAATCCCTGGAATGACCGTTCATGGTATCGAGGAACGGCGAGACGTCTCTGAAGAGGATGTGGTCACATCCCACAATTCAAGGAGAAGTCAAGCTGTCCTTCTTTCATTTAAAAACCCCTTCCAGCACGATGGAAGAGAGGTCGCAAAACTTGGAGAAAAAAGAGTTGAGACCAAGCTGTTAGCAAATCCTTGCATTACAGCACTGCTGCCTAGTTCCGAGCTCCGATCGCCGACGAACTAAGCAGACCCGAACTCTATTACTCTGAGCTTCTACTACGAACTGAAGCTCTCCAGCAACCTCATTCAAACGGTCCAAGGGAAGCAGACTCGACCCGAGCATCGAGCGAAGCGTCCTATAGCCACCTAAAGTCCCCACACAAAACAAAGAGGGCCTTCCCTCTGCTTCTGTTGTAAACATTTGATTTGTTAGTTTGTAATAAGCTTTCTTATAAATACAAACGAAACTCCTTTCTTCGGAAGAATCAAATTTTCACCCTACAGAAGATGGCGACCACAGTGGGAGCAGCTGTTTCATCGAGTGAAATGGTGGTGGCTCAATTTGATGAGGTTACTATCGGGACGACAGTAGAGTCCCTCGAAATCGAGTTCGACCAGGCCAAGTACGAAGAATACTTGTCCTCCTCCTCCTCGGGTGGCAATGCGTCCCGCAAACGCCACAGAGCTGTGCGCCGAGGCCGACCTCAGACGGTCAAAGCCTCCGCACCCGAGGGTTCCAACCGAGTCTCATCGGAGGAGCCCACTCCCTCGCGATCGATCAAGGCCAAGCCAGAGATCGAGCGCAAGAGGCAAGGGTCTGCCAGATGGATCGCCAAGCGGTCCACACAGACACCTACCTCGGAGGAAGCGCCGGTTCACTCCGGCACAAACCGCAATGCCACAACCCACGGTGACGTTCTCCCCGCTGGGAGAACTAACCAACAGCGACGGCAAACACCCGTCAGACAGGGGGTCCAAACCTCCATTTCTCATAATGGCCTGAACCATCACACAGGCCCGAGAAACACTAGACGGGAAGGCAAGCTGCCCGACCTCAGAAGGCCCTCCAAATCAGGAGCGTCAACCGAGGACAGCAGAGCCATCCGCTCAGGAGGACTTCGCTTCTCAGGTCATATCCCTGATGCGAACAAACCACACCGAGCATACGAGCTTACCCAAGTAGGCGAATCCTCGAAGGCTGGCGAGCCTCGCCATAATCATTTGGCGGATAAACGTAAAGGAAAGGAAATAGGCGGTTCCTCCCGAACCCGCTCTTCTAAACACGGGGTCGAAACTCGCCCACATACTGGAATTCGCTCAAACGCGAAGACTCGCCAGTCAAGGCGAGATCGCCTGACTCCAACACCAAGGCGTTCCACCCAACACGCGCCAGAGAGAGCGCCCAAAAATCTCTCGTCAGCTCACCAGAGCGACTCTTCTGAGGCCCGGGGTTGTCACCAACCACCCGTAGAAGACCTCAGAGAATTCTTGACTCGCAAACGCACTATTCACGAGGCGAATCCTCAGTGTCATTGCGAGAGACTCATCCACACGGTCCTCGCCGACTGCCAATGCGTTGGAACGGCGAAACCTTCGGTATTTGAGAGGCTTTCTCAACAGGCCTCTCGACCGAGGCCCTCCCGTCGAAGGCGCCGTCACCAGAAAAGACGCGCTGCTGACGACCTGGAACTCTCATCCGCCACAGTCAACATGACGGATAAAGGGAAGGCGGTACTCTCCGACTCGCCAGACTCGGACTCCGTCTTAAGACCTAACACCCGGTCTGCCCGACGCCGGCAGGAAGGCATATTCCAGCGAACCCGTAGTCGCCGGGGGGTAAGTATTGGGTTTGACTATTCCACCCTAATACCTCCCTCCTGCGGCGAAGATGAGGTTCATTCGGCGGCGGCCACATCCCAGACCTCGCGCTCAAGTCAAGACGCGCAGGCGAGGGCGCACATGACCGATACCAACCACGAGCAGACAATGGCTCAAAAGTTGGAGGCACAGCAGGCGACCATCGACTCTCTAAGAGAGATGATGGAGCAACTGCTGAGCAAGAAGAAAAAGAAGGGAACCCAACGTCCCTTGCCCCGGCAGACTAGGGATAAAGAATGGGTACCACCTCACCGTCC